CCTTTGAAGTTGGGAGACCAAGTGGGGAGCTGCGCCTCGTCATTCAGAAGCCACCTGCGCGCGCCGACGGCGGCCTGCTAACCTAGGCTGGTTTGAATCATACAGCCGACGCTGTGATGGGACCAATCAAGCCAGCGTCGAAAGTGCACCATCGTGGTGTTCGTCATGCCTGTGCACGTGGTCTATCATCGCTGAAACGATTACAAAGAACGAAAGCCTAGTGACTTGCGCTTTTGACGCTGTTTGATCGGTCCCATTACCTCGGTGCGCCGGCTGCCTCTGGATTTAAAGTTAAAACGAAGTGTAGGTTCTCCTGCTTGCGTTCCCTTTCATGTTCTACATGTGGCGCCGAGCAAAGGCATCGGTCTTCGCATCAAACGTTCCGGGCTTCGGTTCCCGCCGAGCCACATGGAAGTTGTCGCATGTTACAATTAATTTTGACTAATTATGATTACATATGATTAATTATGAGCACTAATGACAGCTGTTTGGATGCTTATGCATTGCCTGCTATGGGCGGAGTATTCTTTATGTAGCCTTGGCCTCCGCGTGACGCGTTTTCGTCCAAGTCTAGCGTGACACTTTTTCACATTAAGTCCAGGCCATATACAGATTCTGTGTTCAAACGGCATTTCTATTTTCTCGGAATCATACAGAGCTTGGAGGAGGAAATTCGATTTCTCTGGTTTATGTTTCATTCACCTCAATGTAGAACGCGTGGTTATACTTTTAATGTAGTTTCAAAATGCAGTTTAGAATATGCTACCTCATAATATTCACAAAGATATAACGTTGAATGTGCGCATCCGCTGACACGTGACCCTGGTCCAAATGCCCACAGAGCACCCACAGAGAATTTCTGCGGGGTCCTACATAGCTCTATGGGACACCTGTGGGTCTCTGTAGGTCTCCGAAAATCCTTGTGGGGATGGGGCTGTGGGTCTATGGGACATGTGGGAAACTCTGTGGGTTGCTTTCTGTAACCCACACAGCCTGTGGGGATAGGGCTGTGGGTCTACGAGACATGTGGGGATAGGGCTGTGAGTCTACGAGACATGTAGGAGGCTGTGCGGGTTGCTTTTTGTCACCCACACATCCTGCGGGTATAGTACTAGTTTCTATGGGACATTGTGTGGATGGCTTTAGGTAATCCATGCCATGTAATCAGGACCATGGGCTTTACAAGACATGCGGGACACCGTGTGGGAGATTGTAGGTATCCTACACATACTCAGTGAGCACTCTAAGAAGTCTGTGGGAAGCCTTCAGGGACCCCATGTGCTAGTCATGTTGCTGAAAATGCGGAAAAGTACATAGCCCTAGGCTGCTTGCATTTTAGTATGTGACAGTAAGCTAAAACAGCTGCTTTCTTACGTTAACTCATGCCCACCAGCATATATGCTTTTGAGAAGAAACTATATACATTACAGAATCTTTCGCTCATGCATCAGAGCTTATTCTGTTTTTCTTTAGCCAACATTACTCTGAAGTTGCCAGTCTTGTGTTCTGGATTGTTCTGGCCTTAACAGACATATGTTCTGCATTAATATGAGTGCACACAGGTTGTCATTAGTAACAACAGGTATAAGTAGGCAGTTCTGAGGAAAACATGGACAATGAGGGCTTGATTGGACTCAGTATGTTTATTTTATATGCAGATCCAATGGCCATAGAATGAGAAAAAAAACTAGTACAATAACAGCTGTGCATGACAAAACAATCATTTCACAGCAGAATGGCAACTGAATCTAACATAAAGGCAGTTTCTCAAACCACAGAATATGACCTTCAACTGCAAAGCAAATAGAAGGACAAATAGTTTTCTTTGAATGAGATGCATATATCTATATTACGAATATTATCAGATACCATACTTCAAATTTGCACTGTAATGACTCTAAGTGTCAGTCAAGCCGGTGTGTTCACAATATTCATAAAATACTACAAGAATTCACGTTTCAGAGAAGTGTTGCATAAAAGTTGAGTGACGGGGAGTATAAGAAAACATTGAAAGCATGCACACAAGTATACATCAAAGTATGGCATTCAAATGGGGAATGGGTGGCCAAGTGTGTTGCCACACTGCAGCTTGGAGAATGAGAAGGGAAAGCATGCACTGCAGAAGCCAGGGATTCTGGGCTCAAAATCCTCTCCCAATATTAAAAGCATAAATAGATTATACAGGTCTGCGGGTTTTTGGAGCGGGGGAGGTATACTGAAGTTTTAGAATTAGCTTGAATATATTCGGTTATTCACAGATACGATTATTTTGTCATTATTTTCTTGGTGACTACCGAGGTTCATTTCTAAACGCAATGTTCTATTTTTTATGAACTATTGAGTAGAATAACAACTCGCTGATTTTTAGAATATGGTTCATTTGATACTTTTATAGGGTGTTTCATTTTTAACCTATCAAATTTAGCTGCAAACAGTCATTAAAGATATTATTGCGCTCTTTACTGGTGAGTCATACGGCCAGGGGGACATATGTTTGGGGACTAATCATTACGACGAGTCAGGTTAGTGACTAAAGGTTGTTAGTTAGTTTTTAATTTAGTAAAACTAAACACGTCGTGTTAATTAGCAACTTCCTGAGTGTCATCAAAAAACAATAAATCAGTTTTGTAGAAAGATTTGGAAAGCGTGATTCGTTTTTCTGGTTTCCTATTTTCTGGTAACAAACGCCAGAGGCCAACAATTGCTTTCGAGGAAACATTATTATCATATGACTATTTCGAATTAGATTTCTCCTAGTGTTTTGGCGTTCTGGCGTTTTGGCTGCCTGCCTCGCAAGCTACGCGCACGCCAACGCAAGTACACGACTTGTTAATATTGTACATGTTTGTGTTTGTTTCCTTATCTAGAATAACTAGCAGGTAATCTCTGGTTATCTTGTGTGCGGCTACAGTATAGACGGCTATCCGCTTTTATTTAACCGGAGACATTTCACCAGAGATGGCATCTGGTTTTAAGGGATTTATTGGATGCTCTTCCAAGCTGAATACAAATTATTGCCCTGTGAAACATGCCCGACAAAAAGCCGAGGTAAATATAAAAACCACGTTGACAGCGATTGTGGTCAGTCGGCAAACGGTATCAATAATATGGACAGCTAGAGCCAATTAATCCAGGCAAAAAGAAAAAAAAAACGGAAAACCTGTTATATCGCGAAAAGTCCAGAATAATTTGTCGCCTATTTGTGTATTCTAAACTACAGCCTGTCTGAAAGACAATTTTTTTCTTTTTGGTCGCAAAAATAACCGATGTATCGTCTAACACTCCTTCTCCGCCCAAGTGTAACGCTGCGGTTCAAACCAGATCCCAAAGTTTCAGCACCAACCATTATCTCATTCAAGGGTTATATGATTCCTTTTTTAGATTATAATGGGAATTAAAGGGACCCATTTTCGCCCGTTTTCGGCCACTGGTTCCATAGAACTTCATGTATTCAAGAGCTCGGTCTACCGCCATTGTCCCAATTAAAACCTTATAAAATCCCATGACACGTGAATAAGATAAGGGTTAGTGCTGCAACTTTGGTATCTAGTTCGAACCGCTAGCGCTACATTTTGGTATAAAATGAACATTCAAAAATGCCTAGTTTATTTTTGCATACATCTAATTTGGGAACGAGAAAAACAATGTTCGAAGATGAGAGCGCGAGGGAATTGGGAAAATTATCACGCACTTTAACATCTCCTGGGTGTTTACATAGAACATAAAAAATAACACTACATTTTTTTTACATCAGTCGTATGAAACGATGTATATATTGTCACAACTAAAAATAGGACATGAACGTGAAACTTAAGATTAACATTTAATGAGGCGAACTTGTGCCCATAAACACGAAGAGAAATATATAAATATATGTAGAATTCGTTAAATGTATAATAATATGTATTGTATAATATATCAATATATGTATACAAATGTATACATATAATATATAAGCGCGTTACCACTGCTCTTGTATACATAGTATAAAAAGCTATAAATATGTATGAAAGCGCGGAACGTTCAGGAGTGTTCCGAAGCAGAACACTTTCTCACAGCCAAGAATGGGCTGGAACTTTCCAGAACCGTACAGGAATTATAAGAGAAAGATCTGGGTCAAACGAGGTTCGAACGGGGATCGAACCCCCTTCCTCCGCGTGGCAACGAAAGGAGTCGCCAACTTCGTCACGTACGCGCACCAAAGTGTACTGGAATTATAATCTGAAATCATCACTTTGATGACGCAAAATATAAAAATTAAGCATCGAGACATTCGTCAATGTTAAAAGCCTTACTAAAGTGGCGATGCAGGCGAGTTGGTTCATGATTAGATAAGGTAAGTACACCGCACAGAAAGAAGAAGACCGGAGAGGAATAACTTCTCTCCGTCATCGCATTTTTATCGGCTGTATTTGCCTCATCTATTTTAAGGCTCTCCGCTTCTTGAAAGTAAGTAGATGTTTCCAGCTTAGTTTCTTTTTTTCTGTTAGTTTAGTAGTCTAGCAGTGGAACATATGTTTGCGATGCCGTTAAGTGACCTCATATCTGAAACTGCTAGTGCAGGCATAACACACGCTTCTTGGTTTCTTCATTGCTGGTTTCGTCGGCCTTCTTAATTCGGCAGAAGAAAGCTTTTCTTATTTTTTTAAGCGATGGAGGTTAAGCTGGACACCCCAAAACGCATTTTTGCCTTTTTCATGCGCTCTTTGCAATCAACATATATCCAGTATGGCACTCATTTTGTCCATTCTGACGTTTCTAGCCAAATTGCCCGGTAGATTATGAAACAAACCAAATTTCGTTAATCAAAGACTACTCAAGCATCTCGGGCATTCTGGGTGTGGTTTTCTGTCGCCAGCCAATGAAACTAATTAGTGCCATGCCAGTATAAAAAATAGCGGGTGTTCTGTATGTTTTCGTAATCTGTCTACGTACTGCTTCATAACCGTGCTATTGTCTACAAACAACGTACGATGGTTCTTTTTTGCTCCGGTTCACAGTTCACCAAGACGGAAGAAAATATTTGGATGAACTGCACGGACGACGCTCACTGCGATGTGGCTGTGATGCACGGGTGGACACCCGAGTTCAAGACGGGCTTTATCACGCTCAAGAACCTCGTGCCCTACACTACCTACAGTCTTTCAATCAGAGGTTGCAACGACGCTGGCTGCGGAAATAATTCTACACTGAAAGTCAGAACAGGCATAGCAGGTAAGGACGCCGTGGAGTTTATGATCCTCGGCTTGCACAGCTCTAGAGCCGAGAAATCAGCTACCGCTTCGGGGCAACAACACTTCCGCCATCTTTTTGCTTAAAATCCTTGTTGCCAGTTGTCCGATGCTTGGTATGAAATAGCAGGAAACACTTTTTCGTCCTTCAGAAATGCTAAAACAATCCGAGACAGAAAACTACTACATTTTCCGAGCTTCCTGACGCCGTGGATATGGTCAGGAAGTCACATTTTTGAAGCGATTGCCTTCTAAAGCGATTAGCTTTCTTAAGAACATCAGGCCACTTTGAGGTATGTTTCTGGCCGTTTATTTTCCCCGCTACATTTAGCCGTGAAAATGATGTCGCATGACTTCCTGGCAAGTGACCTATATGCAAATTCGGTTTCCGCGCAAGATTTAGCGGGAGAATTTACGTCACGTGACTCGATCCTGTACCAATTCAGATTCACCGCTAAATTTAGAGGGGGAAATTATGTCGCATGACTTCATGCTACGTGAATTATGCACAAGATCAGTTTTCATGCTACATTTAGCGAAAACATTTACGCCAGGTGCCGCGATATCTTTCATCTACACCAAAACTCAGTTTCCCCGCTAGATTTAGAGGTCAAATCGACGTCACGTGAGGTCAACACCAATCTAGCTTCTCCGTTATATTTCGCGGTGAAAATGACGTCACATGACTTCATGTAACGTTACCTACATAAAAATTCAGCTTCCTTGCTAAATTTACCAGAAAACTTTATGTCACGTTGCTTGAACACTAATCCAGTTTCTCCGCTAAATTTAGTGTGAAAAATAACGTCACACAATGCCACATGATGTATGCACGAATTCAATAACTGCTAGATTTAGCGAAAAAATTGTCGTCACATGATTTTTTTTAATCAGTTTCCCCACTTAAATTTACCGGGAAAAATGACGCCAGATGGCTTGATATCACGTGACCTGCAAGCAAATTCCGTGTACCAGCTGTATTTAGCGGGAAAATTTACAAGTCACCCTTCCCGGCTCTTTTAATTCTGTCTGCAACTAATCACTTAATTCGACAGGAACGTAGATGTTTCTGCCCGAATTTTTTACCGCAACCAACAACCATCAGTGGCAACCACACTGCACCAAGCCCTAAAATGGCGGCGACCATAGGACGTTCGGGGAATGGAGAGACCAGTGTATAATATAGGCAGGTGGGAAAACGAGAGACAATTGGAGACCTGATTTTGTACCCGCTTCAGGAACGTTCGCTGTACTCTATACATGGATGGCGCCAGGGTAAGAAGGGGAAAACGAAATACCCTCCTTTTTTCGCAGCAACCCGACTCACTGGCACAGTATTACATAAATTGTGCATTAACTAGGCGAGTTTAATCGAGCAAACTAATAATATATTTAATATATAGGTTCTGTTTTATCTGTAGCTTTCCCTTACAAGCTAGAGGAATCAAGGGGGCGCGCAGCGTGACAAAAGCAAGGCCAGGAGCTGAGGAGCTGAGGCGTGTCGTGAATGCGTCGGCGGCGTCGATTCCATTCCATGTTGTGGATGTGTTCGGCGATCTAGCTTATCCGTTTCCGCTGTTTACGTGCAAGCAAGGTCGGTTTTAATTCGACGTCATTTGACACCAGCGGTACGCCGTCACACTACACGGCGGTCACGCTGTGCACAAGACGACAGACACCCGAACTGAACATCGCCCGCGTTGAATACCACCGCTTTTTTTTTTCTTTCTTGGGTGGTAACTCGACCGACAGTTCGGAACACCGCAGTAGCGGCCCATACATCAATAATCTTGACCGTCCCCAGACTCCAAAACATGGCGAAAAATGGAAATTAAGTCTGCTGCCATCAAACTCGTCTGCTCCAAGCGCGTCCGGCACCGAAACTATGGTGCCTGGAGCGCGCCTCCGACTGGTGCATTTAGCGTCCTATCCCGTTAATACACTAAACGTGGTCCAGAAACGGCAACAATTGACGTCACTCGAAAAAAGGAGTATCGCGCCGTCGAACGTCGCGATTCTGGCGCTTGGGCGTAGAAAAGCTGGCGAAAAGCACGAGGGACCGCGAGTGTCGCTATCGTCGCAGCGTCCCAACTTCTGACTGCCGAAATTTCCGCGGACTGCCGCACTAGAGAGCGACCTGCAGCGGAACAGGCGTCTGCCGCAGGCACTACAGCTGTTGGGACGCCGCCAAGATCGTGAGCGGCGAAAGCGTGACACATCTATGACGTCATCAGGCGGAAATAGAGAGACCACTCTCACAGAGCTCCATACAAACCCAATTCCATCGTCTTGCGTATACCGCTGCCCCATCTATCGTAGGGCGGAGCTGCCTGCCGAGTGGAAGCCGACAGGAGGGCACAATCAGGTCGCACCGCTGCGTCAGGTTTCAGTGATCGTTTCCCCCTTACCTGCCCATCTTACACCCTGGGAGATTGTATGTGTGGCTTGGTGACAAGCCTGATGTAAACTTCAGATAAAGAGAGGCTAGGGCTCATTCACACAGGTCATTTGAGTGTGGCGGGTGCGTTGCAGCCACTTGTGACCGCCTACGACGAGAGAACACACTGGCGCCATCTATCGGGTAGTCCTGAAACACCTTGGATATATGTGTAAAGCCTAAGGTATTACGCACTGTTTTGTTGTTGTTGTTTTTTTTTCACTAGGGGCTTTAAATATAGCTGACAGAGTCATAAGCGAGCGCTTCTTATAGAAAGTGCGTAGATGTTATGTCGGAATTATTGCAAAACGTTTAGTCTAGTTAAAATCGGAGACTGCTTAAAGGTGGCGCAAGTGAGATTTCTCGTCAAAAGCCGGTGAATCCGTTTGCAACACGCACTGCTACACTCGATCGCAAATGCGAAACCAGATTTTAAAGTCAGTCCGTATGATGTAAACTATATAAGAGTGACAAAAAATTTAATTGTCGGATGGAAGATGAAATACCATTATGCCAACTGCGGAGTTAGGAATTCTATCTCATCCTTAGTTAAAATGATTGAAGGCGTCGAAATATTATTGTTTAATGAGGATTTGCAGATAAATTATAGAATCCTTCAGCATGAACTCAATTATTATTAATGTTTCGGCGCCTTCTATCATTTTAACTACGGATAAGATAGAATTATTTTTCCCGGATTTGGCATAATTGCATTTCATCTTCCATCCGACAATGCAACATCTGTCACTCCTTTTTTTGTCCCCCTTCATCCTGTATTTATGAAAACGCTCCCTTCACTCGCTTTATTCTTTTTTTTTTTCTTCTTCTTTATTTTATGATTCCGGTCAGGGGTGGGTTCAGAAAGATTCCGCTAGGAGATTGACTGTACTTGTGTTGTTCCGAGTTGAACGATGAAGTGTCCGTCGTCCTTTGCTCCTAAGTGTGTTATTTATTCTGTCGTCTTTGTTAAAATACCAGGTTGCAGTTTTGACAAAGATAAATAGAGAGAGGGAGAAAATCGGTTATTTAAAAAAAAAAACGACGAGGCTAACTGAGCTGGATGATGCTAGCTTATTACGTTGAAGAACGAAAAAAGGAAGATAAAGAAAAAAACTTGCAGCGACCTTTATCTCTAAATTCTTTTAACACATGGCATGAGAGTGACCGTTTCAATTTATTTCTCAGTCGTTTCGAAGAGTCAAACAACATAGATATTATCAAATTTTTGTCACTTTTTAGCAGCTAACTCGAATGTGCGTATGGGTCACGTGACGTCAAGTAACATAACATAAACTTCCCCGCGTCGCGCAGCAGAGACGCTGTTTAATTATTTTAGAAAAAGACGTGTAGCTGAAGATTCTGACACACGTCAGAATGAATAGGCAAAGCTGACGTAAAGTACATATGGGCGGTTTATTGTTTTTTTTTACCGAATACAAATTGGAGAAAAAGCAGTGGAAGATGCACAAAATGCAGTCTGTGCGAGTGAGTTATACGGCCAGACGGACATTATCTTCAAGAGATAGTGTAAAAGAAATGGCTGAATAACAAAAAATCACGTATTACTTTTTAATTCGACGCTTTAGGGAGCATGTTCATATTGAAAAATGAAAGCAATCATTCATTGCTGAAGGCCAGCCCAGCTTTTAAAAATCCTGGATCGAGCACACAGCAAGAATTATCCATTGTCAAGTTGTCTTCTGGAAATCTGTCCATGCCGAAACCAAGCGCGCGATGCCCGCCGGAATGGCAGCCATCATTTGACGCCGGAGGGTCACGTGTCAATGACGAAATTAGCGTCGCTTTTGCGTCACAGCACGCCGGAGCTGATTGCAATCGGCGTTCGGTGACTGGCGAACTAAAGTGATAAGCCACCTCAGCGGCCGCGACAAGTTGGTTTGCTTTGCTGCGCAATATCACTGAGAAACGTTTAATCATGGGTGCGAGTCAGGTCATATAAAGAACCTGAACATAAACTACACAACAAAAAACTACGAAAAGACTTGAGACTGCTAACGTGTAGGAGTGCGAAAGCATTCGTATGCGTAGTGTATTCCTACAAGCTGCACGCCGCGCTGAGTCCGGCCGACCGACCTCTGCGTACGCTGCCTGGGCGGGCTCTGCGGCAGGCCGCTCTGCAGAGCCCGGCCACCCTTTCCCTTTTACCAGCGGCCGGGCCGCAGCGCCATGGATAGGGCTTCTCTGTGTAGTGGCGTTCCTTGGAACTATGTCGCGCGCCAGCCAATGGGAGTTTTCCATCAATTCGCTGCTACTGACTACAGGCTTCGCTTCATGGGACAGGGAAATTGAGGTGCCGTTTGGCGCGGCTTCAAAAGCTGAAAACGCCGGTTCGCTCTATGGGACAATTAAGGCCCGTTCACACACTTGCGACTTCTTAGGAGCTAGTGCATCGGGACCTTTTAATATCTTTTAGGACGAGAGGACGTACTGACACCACCTATCGGGAAGCAGTGGAAACCTTGAGGTCCCGTATAGTTTCTCTTTCTTTCCCGCGTCATTATATGGTTTTTGGCATGAACCTTTTT